ATCCACTCACAAAAGGGTAGATGTGTCAACAAGTACTTGAATTGTGGAGGGTAATGGGGCTAAAGTCCATTAACTAGTTGCAATAATGGACACCCATCTCCAAATACATGACGATCCTATGAATGGAGTTTGATGAGTAATAACGAAATTATTTATTAATTAAAGTAAACCATTGTAAATTGTAAACTATTGCACGTTCCATCCATATGGTGAGTTGTACTTTAAATTAAAATGTGACAATAACAAGGTTGAGGTATTCAAATATTTATATTTATTGTGTTAAAATTAAAAATACTTCTTAATGGACTCAATGACAATTATTGTAAGGGTGGGTGTTACAGACCACCCTTGAAAAGGTTCACCTAATAAGTGTCGTGATGGGACCACTACCGTGAGATATTTGCAACCTCTAAGTGACACTCACAAAATAAGATATGTGACACCCTTACTACCCCAACACGTATAAGGATAATAAAACTAACGAATAAATTTTTCAATGTTGGTAAAAGGGTTCACATAAAAACCTTTAGAAACATTCTTCAATATCCAAAATATTTTGAAAATGAAACTTGGGAAATAAAATATAAGAGGTTACAAAATGTTTTCAAGATAATAGGTTCAACTCTATATACAAATACAATTCATGCCCTAGAAATCCTTTGCCCCGATGTCACAATATCAGAGCATGCCCATAAATCAACAGTTGGCATTCTGGATGTCATTCAAAGCCAGATCTTCCTCACCTAAAACATCCACAAATTGTACGGTGAGAAAAGAAAACATCTATATGTAAAGCACAAAAGAAAAACACAGCATAGTCGCATCATTATTCATGAAATATTCACAAGCATTTATATATATATCATAATTAACAATCATTTATCACATCTCAATCCACACAAATCTTACAATTAACACTATGCCAAGGCCACACCACAAATGGCATAAGTGATACAGGTTAATTGCCACATTCATCCCACACCACGCCAGGGTCACGCCCTCCCTATAGCATCACTTACCCAGGGGTCGTGCCATCCCTGGTCATTGATGTGAGGAACCACAATCACATCACAATCCACACAATCTCTTGCAATTAACCCTATGTCAGGGTTGCCATATTTGACATAAGTGATATGTGTCAATTGTCTCACTCATCCTACACCATGCCAGGGTCACGCCCTCCCTCTAGCATCACTTACCCAGGGGCCATGCCATCCCTGATCATTGATGTGAGGAACCACAATCACAATCATAATCATATCCACACAACATCTCATCTCATATCTCAATTTCATATTACATACACAATTCCATATCACATACACAACAGATAAGTCCAACAAAATAAGGGTTTACACACCCTTCGAGCAATTCACATCTAGATCATCAATTCTTGTAAAGTAATATAACAATAACATTCATAAATTAATACAATAATCAATGGAATTACCAATTTAATATAATCTCAACATAAACGATAAAACCCCCAATTATTCCAAAATCTAACTCACAGGCACTTTTCTACAATTTCGTTCTCTTTCCCAGATCATCATTCTTACAAATTTAAATATATATTTCTAATCCTCACACATACAGAATCTAATGGGATCATCAATTCCTCAAACAGAAATAATCCAATTTTCCACAACCTAACTTACAAACACTTTTCTATAATTTCGTTCTCTCTCCCACATCATCATTCTTACAAATTAAATGTATATTCATAATCATAAATTCATACAGAATCACATAAGACCAATAATTCTCTAAATAGAAATAATTATAAAATTACTCATAATCTTAAGGGACTCTTCCTTTACCCAATTCCCTCATGTAACTCTACATACAAATAATTTCCTTTTCTCCCGTACCTGGATAAACAGTAGCTGAAACTAAAATAGAGATCTCTTGGTCTCCTCCTCTAAGTGCCCCTCGATCTTCAGAGAGTGTAGAAGGGAAAGAAGAGAATGTAGAAGAAAGAAGTCAGAACTAAAAGAAGTCAGAACCGAAAAATATGATTTTGGGAGTGTCAGAGCACTCAATTTATAGGCATCAGGATTCGCGGAACGGCCCCTTTTGAAATCTCACGTCATGTGTAAAATTCACATATAGAACGGTCCGTTCTCAAACTAGAATGGCTCGTTCTGGGGTTTGCATTAAAAACTCTCAACGGTCATATTTTGGAACGGCCCGTTCTCAATAAGGTTCAAAGGCCTTTTTTAAAATCCGGAACGGCCCGTTCTAGTTGGGAACGGCCCGTTCCCAACTAAGAATCATAGGCAAAATTTAATGGTTTGGAACGGCCTATTCCAAATCCAGAACGGCCCGTTCCGGGCTTCCAAAAGTAGGTCCATTTAGTAATTTGGAACGGTTCGTTCCAATTTTGTAACGGCCCGTTCCGGGCTACTAAACCACATTAATTGGGCTCTTGGCCAGTGAAAATTGGGCTGTTACAGTTCTTCCCTCCTTTATGAAATTTCGTCCCCGAAGTTTTTGCAAAGGTAGACTCCTCGTATCTTGCTTTCTAATTCCTATGCAACCTCACTACCTTATACATGTACAACTCTATCAATTTCACCCAGGAATGTCTATTATCAACAAGGGTAGACAAGTAAACTTGGCGAGTCTATCCACTATAACCCAAAGAGAATCAATCTCTTAAGCGTTCCAGACAAACCTACAACTAAGGTCTATCCACTCACCATCTCACTTCCAAAATGGGACGTCTAAGTGCTACAAAAATTCCTAAAGACTTCTAGCATACTAAACACGAGTATACAAATTCTTCTACTCCTCTCTTTTTCTTAGGCCACCACGTTTCTGCTGCGCCACTCTGATACATCTTAGTAGCTCCTAAATGGGTGCTAAGAGTACTCTTATGTGTCCTCCCTCTAAGATCATCTTCCTAAATTTAAGATTACTAGGCCATAGATCCTATCATTGAACCCCAAAACACCATCAACTTCCACTCGTAAAGGGCTATCTATACTCCTAGCAATCCTCTTCACTTGGTTCACTAAGAAAGGATCTAACTCTTAGGCTTCTCTAATCTCTTCCATTAATTCATTAGTCACTTTCAACATACTAAATTCAATGCTCCTAAGGGTGAGCTCACACATCACGCTTAAGTTTCTAAGTTCTTCAATCAAATCCAACCCTTAAATCATCAAAGATGGTAGGTGAATGGTCATCCTACTCAAGGCATCCGCCATAATATTAGCTTTTCTTCTATGACCCTCTCTAAAGATCAACCACCTAAGCATAGGTTCACTAGATACACATACTCGATCTCAAAGTCTTACCACTTCATCTATACCCAAGGTAAACACTTATCCATTATCTTGTCCTATAGCCTCATATCTTATCACCAAAATGAATCAACAAATTATGTTCCTCCAATTTTCCTTTAACAATCCACTAGTTATTCGAGTCATACTTAGTCTCACACTACTAAGGGTAACCTCATAAGTCACGCTTAAATCCCTAATTTGAACTAAAAGATCCATCTCCCTAATCATAAGGAAGGGCAAATATAAAGGTTCCCTACTCAAAGTATAGATCACCACATTGGCTTTACCTAGATAACACAACTAAGATTAAAATCCTAGTCCTTAAGAAATTTCAACTATCTCCTTTGGTCAAAATATATTTAAGGCTCTAAAGATCACTGAACACCTCAAGCTTAGAATCATCTAGGTAGTGTCTCCAAATCTTAGTGTAAGTATCATAACTGCTAACTCAAGGTCATAGATAAGGTAATTCCTCTCATGATTTTTTAATTGTCTAGAAACATAAGCTATTACCTTTCCTTCTTGCATCAACACTCCATCCAAACCTATCTTAGAAGCATCACTATATACCATAAAAGGCTTACTAAAATCTAGTAATATTAGCACTAGCCAACCTTTCCTTAAGAGTTTGGAAGCTACTCTCATACTTTCCATCCCACACAAAGGCAACTCCTCTTCCTCGTCAATCTAGTCTAAGGTAATGTTATCTTAGGAATTTCCTCAATACTCTCCTATAATAATAAGTTAATATAAGAAAACTTTCACTACAAGAAATTCATTAAATAGAGACTTATTTAGAGACCAAATTTATATAGTCACTTTAGCAACTTATTTAAATACTATTTTAGAGATTGATTATAGTTGGTCCCTAATTCAATCTCTATTGTCATTAATATTTTTAATGTAATTAGAAACCAAATTTTTAGTAGCTAGTAGTTTAAAAAATATTATTTATTTAATTAGATACAACTTTTTTAGTCTCTAATTAAAATATAATTTGAGACAAATTTTTTGGTTACTGTTAAAACACTTTAGAAACCAATATTTTAGTCTCAAGATACACTAAAATTATAGATTAAATTTCCTAGTTTCTAATTTAAATATTACTAGAGACGGACTATTTTGGTCACCATTAACTTAATTTAGATACCATTTTTTTAGTATCTAATTGTTCTATATTAGAAACCAATGTATTAGTCTCTAATAAAAGTATAACAAGAAACTAATATTTTAGTCACTGCTAAATTATTTGACACAAAAATATTTGGTCTCGAATTAAAATACACGAGTAAATAATAATTGATGTTTTACTCACTATTAACTCATTTTAGATACTTTTTTAGTATCTAATTATGCTATATTAGATACCAATATATCGATCTATGATAGAAATATAATATATAACTGATTTTTTTTAATCAATGTTAATTTATTTTAGATAAATCGAGCTCTAATTAAAAAATAATAAAGATTATTTTTTGTAATTACTGTTAACTCATTTAAGAAATTATTTAAGTATATAATTAAAATTAATAAAAATTAAAATATTAATATTATGTATATAATATTTAAATTAGAAACACCTAAAGTATCAAATATCTGGCCATGCAAGAAATGGACTTTAAGAACTACTTAATAATAATTAATAAAGGTAAATCTTTAAAAAAAATAATAAAATGAAACATTTACGTGTGGAGACGAAGAGCCTCCACGATTTCTTCTTGTCCACGTGTGGAGTGTTCACGAAGACAGGTTTTTTGATGGTGGCCGTTGTTGGGTGGTGAGTGGAGTTGAGAAAAGGGTCTCTCTGGCACGTAAAAATCAAATCGAAAATTTTAGACACTCACTCTTCTCTTCTCTAATCACTTTCCACTCATTAAAGGGATTGTGAAATTGAAGTGCTCGATGACAACAGCATACCCCAAACCCTCGGAGATTCTGTGGAAGAAGGAGCTCTGCAACTCTGTCAGCCTCATCGGCGTGGTGGCCGCGGCCGTCGAACTCAAACACCTCCCCTCCGGCAAGGTGGTGGCCTGGACCCGCCTCTCCATCAAGAAGAACGCCACGCAAGCGTCCTCCATAAGCTTCACTTTCTAGGACGAAGAGCCTCTCCGATTTCTACATTTAAGTGAAAATCACAGTGAGGAAATCTTCTACATTTATAGCTAAGGCGGTGAAAATCAAACCTTTTTATTGATGTCTATTACATCTTCTTATGCCAACTTTAGTTCCATTCACTGTACTTCTTGCTAGTTGCAAAAATTGCTATTTAGTATAAATTATTCATTTGATGGTTATACTTCTTCCATTTTAAATTTTAGTCCATGTATCAGATTTTTTTTTAATCCCTGTACATGCATGTTTCTCTAAGTTTTAATCCCTGTATATAGGACATGAAGTTGTTAAAATCAAAATTGTTCTTATAACATGATAGTGCTATTTGCTTTACTGGTGATTATTAAAACCGCTTAAATGGTAAGTTTATTCTTATGGTATTCTAATAGATATTATAGTTTCTCGCCTCTACTTATTTTATTATTGAATTTAGATTTAGGGTTGATTGGTGTTTGGATGTTGTTCTTGTGCAGGTGTTTGATTCGATATGCGATGGCTGGGGCTTGCAAGATATTAGGAAAACAACTATATATCTAATACAATTAGATATATAAATTCTGTGTGCCGTGAATTAGTTCTTATGAAAATAATTTTGGATTCTTCTGTAGTGCAATTTGTTTATTTATTCCATGGATATTTCTGGAGAAATCAAAGATGGATGAACATGGACCATGGAACTTCCCAAAAATTAAAATATTAATATTATGTATATAATATTGAGTTTCTTCAAATGAATAATAGGACTCGCCTCCCGTTCTTCCAAAGTCTGGTTAGATCTTGCACTGTAGTAATCTCATTTTAATAATTAGTAGTGTCTCCCATTTCAAAACTCCTGTGCTTTTTGAACAGACTCCAATTTGCATGCATTTCAATAATTTTGATTGTTATTTTAGCTGCTATTTATACCAAATATATGGTAAAGTTTGTTACTTATTATCTTTATTGTACACATTCATGATTCTCAAATCCTTTTCATTTATATTTTTCTGTAGATGTGTTGTGAGTGGATTTGGAAAGATTGCAATGCATGTTTTAGATAAGCTTGTTGCTTATGGCGCTCTTTCCATCTCAGTATCAGGTAATTTTAGTTGTTTGAGCGTGTAGAAACTACTCCATCTCATTAAAGATAGCATCAATTAGTAGGATTGTTGTAACGTAATTGTTGGGATTGAATTCCTCGATATAGTCTAGTCTTTTGAAGGCATATGCAATTTTTTGACAAAAGGTTTTTCTCAGATTCAAGAGGATATTTGGTTGATGAAGATGGATTTGACTATATGAAAATATCCTTTTTAAGAGATATCAAAGCTCAACAAAGAAGTTTGAGGTTCATATCACTCTGTAAAAATCTTGTATATTTTTCAGATGAGCAATTTTATCTAATTTTTCCTTATCCATAAATTTGGATAATTTTTCCTTATCTAATTTTATCTATGATAGAAATATAATATGCAACTGATTTTTTTAATCAATATTAATTTTTTCTTGTTGGCCTTGAGAAGCTGGGAAAAGGTGACTGGAGGGGAATCTCTAGAAACTATGTGACTACAAGAACTCCAACACAAGTGGCTAGCCATGCTCATAAGTACTTTATTTGGCTTGCAACCATGAATAAGAAAAAGAGACGTTCAAGTCTTTTTGAGTTGGTACAAATTACCTGATTTTATATTAAACTGAATGATACGCACTTAATTATTTTATATTAAACTGAACATATTGCCTTCCCTTTTTCTGAAAAAAAGACAGAGGAACTACGAAAAGAGATTGTTGACATTCTGTTATGTGTTTAGGACAAGATGTCTTTTACCTTTGCACAAGTGCTATATTAATCATGTTTTAGTAATGCGTTAAAACTAACAAGTTACAGAGTTAGTGCTTAACAATTATTAGACTGAAAAAGTTAAATGGTTTACCATTTTGGAGGAAGATTGTTCATATATGTTATAGACTTGTAAAATCTTATGCTAAAGTAAGAGCATGTATTTTAAATGTCAATATTATACCCCTTTAATATGATTGTTGATGGCTGATCCTTCGTCATAGAACTTGACAAGAGTTTGCTATAACTTGGGATATGCAGTTTCTGCGGGTCTTGATTTTCTCCAGTTCTGTAACCTCAACAGTTTCAGAACCAAATTCGTGTTGGGCTTCTCATTCTTCCTTGGCATCTCCATTCCACAATATTTCATAGAATACTATGTAAAGCATCAAGTTGGATGGGTGAGATCTCTGAACGTAAACCAATCATTGAAGTTTAATTCACAATGAGGTAGTTGCTTAGGTAGTTTTATTGTTGTTCACTCATTAAAATTAGAATTCCAGAAAAGAATTGTATAGGTTTTGTTGAAATTTAATTGTGGTACACATGACTATGTGAGTGATTGTCATTTCAATGAATTTGCAGCTCAATGATATGATTTGTGTGATCTTCATGTCGCACACGACGGTGGCAGCATTTAGTTGCATTTGTTTTGGACATCACACTCTCACGTGATGATGAAGAAGCTCGCAAGGACTATGGTTTGCCATGGTAAACTAGTAGAGCATGCGAAAAAACTTAAGGTCAATGCTGGAAGAGAGCCAGATGCAGACCTTTTAGAAATTAATCAATATTAATTTATTTTAGATAAATCGAGCTCTAATTAAAAAATAATAAAAATTAACTTTTTAATTACTATTAACTCATTTTAGAAACTATTTAAGTATATAATTAAAATTAATAAAAATTAAAATATTAATATTATGTATATAATATTTTAAAATATAGAAGTTTGAATTACAATGCTTATTATCATTTATTTATTTTATTTAGTGATCTCTGGTTGGAAAAGTTATGTAAGTAGCAAATAGATTTTTATGCACATATACTTGCCCTGTTTGGTTGTCACATTTTATGGCTATCTTTATTTGGGAATTATGATGGAAGCATTTGTAGTGGAGTTAATAGAAAGGTTGTGACACTAGCTTATGTTCATTCTCTTTATTTTAGACAAAGTTGAATGGAATTCCTCCTACTATATCAGAATTGTTTCGTCGCACACACCAACGGAAGGACAAGTCATGGGTGGACAGGAGATTAGAATAATTTAATATTCTACTTTTAGTTTGTTTTTATTTTTGAAGCCATAACTATTCTTAAATTGGTGTTGATAGGAAAAATTTTCACATATATTTGAAGAATTAACCCAAAAAGCAAATGAAGAAGGAACTACTCCACCAAATGAGTTAGATGTGTGGTGTGATGTAGCTGAAACCAAAGGAGGAAAAATATATGGCCTTGGAATGGAATCTTCTGTAGTGGCAGGAAGACCATATTATCGTGGCTCTTCTTCTTCCTCAAATGAGTGGGTACAAAGACAAGAACTTGATGAACTAAAAAAAGATTTGGAAGAAGTTAAAAATGAAAGAGATGAGCTTCGAGTTAAAGTTGTAAACATTGAGAAACTCTTTGAACAAAATAATGCAATGATACGACAATGGATGGATAGTATTAATAGTCATTCCATGCCGCCTAGTATAGAGGATAGTGAAGATGAGGATGAGACACAACCATCCAGTCAACCATTCAATCCTAATAGAGATAACTTACTAATTAAAATATCTTTTTACAACAAATACAAAATGGTTATAGTTAAACCAAATAGCATTTATCATAGTTGGAAATGGTATGATGTTATTAACTTAGTTGAAAAGTATCTACATGAGTAATTGTGATTTTACTAGGAAGAATTCCACCTGTTTCTTGTCAAATTATAATCATTCATTTAAACTAATATACAATTATTAAAGTTGGTGAATGAAGATAGTACGTATTACATATGTTTTGTATAACATTTCAATTTTGTATAACATGTTTTTTTATCAATTATATATTTATTTATTTTGTACTTTTTTGTATAGATGACTATTTTAGAAGAAACAAAAGAATGTGATGTACAAGAAGAGTTCCACGTACAACATAAAGGACATGTTACTTTCATGATATATGTTAAGTTTTTGATTCACTCATTTTTTTCACAGGTGTTTTTTTTTTCTTGAGATAGTTTTATGAACTTCATGCACTTGGTTGTTGAAAGTATTCTAAATGACATAGAGTCATTGAAATAGATCATTATTTTGGGTCTCGTAGACACCAAACATTAGTATGTTTGTGTGTTTGGCCTGGTTCATTTAAGTTTCTTTTCAGTGTTTGCCATATAGGAAGCATGAACTGTTGTTTTCACTTGCTATTATTTGCTCATTATTTCCTGCAAGATCAGATTATTTGTGGTGTTTGCTATGAAGCATACTACACGCTTCCTAAGTGGTTGCCTTTCAAAAACGTATTGGACATTCATTAGACATGTGATGTGTAATTGAGACTTATATTTAAGAGTGTGGGACAATTCAAATTCTAATTTTGCTATATGACTATGTTTGCCTTTTGTGTCCATTGTGTGGGTGCATGACTCTTATTGCTGTATGACTATTCAAATTCTTGTACTGAATTTTGTGTGCCTCATGATTGCAGGAAATGGGGAAAATGCTTGACAATAAAGAAGTTAGGCTTTCCAAGGAACCACCTTTATGTAATGAAACAATTACTGTTGTTGTTCGAATGCCAGATGGTCATCGGTCATCGTCTTAAACATCGCTTTCTCAAATAGATAGTGAGGATTGTATGTTTGGTGGATATTATGTGTAGTTTTAAAAATTTAAAAAATTTAATTACTTAATTTTCATGTTATTATATAGTGTATGTTGACTTTTTGCATAATAGTTTAACAGAATAAATATGTGAAGTAAATAAATAATTAATATTATACTTAAATAATTATTATGTTTTAGTAGAAAAATAATTGAAGTTAGGTATGTGGTGAATTTGAATAAAGAAGATAATAAATATGAAAGAAAATGGCATAAATAAGAAAGATGAATATATAAGGAAAAATTTTAGCGACTACTTTTTTTTTTTTTTATATTATATCAGTCACTTTGAGTCATTAAAAAATGGGTCACTAATTCTGTTATTTTAAAATTTGATCACTAAAATGGTTACTTTAGAATCAGTTATTATTTCAGTCACTAAGTTGATTATTACAAAATAAGTTGCTAAGTTAGTCATTATAAAATAGGTTACTAAATTAGTTGTTATCAAAATTGGTATCTAAATTGGTTACTATAATATTGGTAATTAAAACAGTCGCTATAAAATTGGTCAATGAGATGGTCATTAAAAATTGGTTAATAAATTAGTCATTGTAGAATAAGTTACTAAGTTGATCATTATAAAATTAGTCGCAAAATCGGTCATAAAAGAATTGGTCATTAAATTAGTTTTTTAATCAGACTTTAGATTGGTAGTTAAAATTAGCAACCAGTGGTTTAGTTACTTTCTATAATTGGTATCTAATTTAGTCACTTATTGATTTAGTAACTGATTTTGTTAATTTAGAGACTAAAAATTTTGTCTCTAAAGACAAGTTTTCTTGTAGTGTCTTAACCTCACTAACTAACTTTGGTATCTCCTACTTAAGTACATCTTCTACCTTAGATAGATCTACGTTATACCTCCACTAAAATACAGGACCTAGAAAACTTTTCTTATACAACCAAAATTCATACTTAGATAATTTAGCCTAGAACGGTGTAGGATAAATCCTCACTCTCAACTCTAATTTGATGATATCACACCTTGAGGTCAACCTTACTAAATGCCCACTAGTTGATCCATAAGGCCATCTATCCTCATATCAACATACATGCATATCAAATCATATTAGAATACCTACTTCAAACAATCGATATGTATCATTCTTAAGCATGTACGAATCAATCACCATTTACTCCATATAGCATGTACGTGAACCAAATTTACCACATAACATCATACAACCTTAAACAACCTCTCAATCCACATGACATCTCAAAATCATGACAAAATCAATTTTTATCCTTGCATTGCCTAACAATTCAAAAATATCATGACACCATACATATCCCTTCAACAACGATCAAAGAAAATGATACCTAGAGAGTTCTACTCATCCAAATGATCTCAAACATATCTCAAAAGAAATCTAAGAGAATAAGCTACAACTCTTATGAAGACATAAGATTCTAAAAAGATCATCTTCGTAGCTAAAAATTTCAAAAACCGCAGCAGATATATTCAGCGCTTACAACTAGACCTTTGATCACCAAAGTAGCTATAACTGGAGTTCTAGACCTCCGTTTTACCTGATTCTAGTTCCATTGGAAAGATAACGTCCAAGGATAAAACTTTTATGAAGACAATAAAATCTAAATCTGTCAATATGGTACTCATACTGGGACAACAAAACTGCAGTGAAAATATCCTCTACACCAAACAGCAATAGTATATCAATATATCTAAGGCCACAAAAATACCTCAACCCTTCCAGACTCACACCTCAACTTCATATTCAAGCTTCCCACTACAATCCTAAACCAAAAAAACTCACATATTTAGCACAACAGACTTAAAAAATAAAACTCACATGCTACCTAAACCATAAACGGTTAACATGCCAGCACCAACACTCAAGGGAATTACCAACATTTCAATCTCTCATCAAGGATACCAAAACTTCAATTCTCAACATACAACCACCTCGGATTCAACCGCTACAAATATAGATTTCAGAAACTCCACTAATCGTAAACTCTTAATACACTCAACAAATCAATGTATCACTCACATCCAAGGTTCTAACAGTTCTAGTTGGCTAGTACAAGGCTTCTTCCACTACTACTAGCACATATGCTCGCAACACGAGCGATACCACTCAACCACTACTTCTTACGTAAGCAAGAAGTATCAAAACAAATAAGCAATCATGAATAGCATCAACTAAGCTATATCATGTCTTTTAACCAAACAATGAGAAAACAAAATAAGTGCAAGCACAACACTAACAACGCAAGGGAAACATCATCATCATTATCATTATCTTCATCATAAAGGAAAACATTGTTAGAGTACACACAACTAAATAAGCAACAAACATAGTCGTTCATCATTAGCACATCAATCAGTTCTATCAATACCCCACTTGTTGAATGGCCAAGGAGACAAGATTGAATGGAGTCGTTCGGCTGGAGAGTGGTGCAACGTTGCGTGTCTTTGACATCCATCACATTTTTGAACCCAATTGACGCAGTCGTTTCTCAAAGTCGGCCAAAAGTACCCTGCCCTCGCAACTTTGTATACTAGTGCTCGTCCTCCGATATGACTTCCACACATGTCGCCATGTACTTCATCCATCACTCTCTGTGCTTGCGACGTGGTCAAACATCTCAAAAGGGGAGAGCTGAAACCCCTTCGATACAATCTTTCGTTGATGACTACGAACCTGGGTGACTCTCTGTATCAGTGACACCTCCTTCTTATCCTCTGGCAACACTCCCCGAGTCAAGTATGCGATGTATGGTCCCATCCATGAATCGAGCTCTTCTTGGATGAAAAGAACACTCCCCTGTGGCTCATTAATACTTGGCTGCGCTAAGGTTTCTTGGATAACCGACCGAGTGGCTCCTGGCTTCTTTGTGCTTCCAAGCTTGGAGAGCAGATAGGCCCGCGAATTTTGCTTTCATGGTACGTGGTTAAGTATGAACCCCACTCGCGAATTGCGTCCCGTTATCTGATACGAGTACTTGGGGAACACCATATCTGCATACCACATTCTTCCATAAAAATGTCCTTACCTTCTCTACCGAAATGGTTGCTACGGGCTCCGCCTCAATCCACTTGCTGAAGTAGTCTACGGCCACTATCAAGAACTTCAACTGTCTCACCGCGATCGGGAATGGGCCGAGAATATCAATACCCCACTTGTTGAATGGCCAAGGAGACAAGATTGAATGGAGTCGTTCGGCTGGAGAGTGGTGCAACGTTGCGTGTCTTTGACATCCATCACATTTTTGAACCCAATTGACGCAGTCGTTTCTCAAAGTCGGCCAAAAGTACCCTGCCCTCGCAACTTTGTATACTAGAGCTCGCCCTCCTATATGACTTCCACACATGCTGCCGTGCACTTCTTCCATCACTCTCTGCGTTTGTGACGTGGTCAAACATCTCAAAAGGGGAGAGCTGAAACCCCTTCGATACAACCTTTCGTTGATGACTACAAACCTGGGTGCCTCTCTCTGTATCAGTGATGCCTCCTTTTTGTCCTTTGGCAACTCCCCCCGAGTCAGGTATGCAATATAGGGTCCCATCCACGAATCGAGCTCTTCTTGGATGAAAAGAACACTCTCTTGTGGCTCATTAATACTCGACTGAGCTAAGGTTTCTTGGATGATCGACCGAGTGGCTCCTGGCTTCTTTGTGCTTGCTAACTTAGAGAGGAGATCTGCTCTCGAATTCTGCTCTCGCAGTACATGGTTAAGTGTAAACTCTCGGAAATTTTCCGATAAGAGCTTAACCTTTTCTAAGTACTTAGCCAGTTGAGGGTCCTTTGCTTGGAAAGTTCCAGCTACCTGCCCTGTGATCAGCTGAGAGTCACTTCGAGCTGATAAACTCGTCGCCCCCATCTCCTTCGCCAATGCCATGCCGGCTAACAACGCTTCGTATTCGGCCTGATTACCAATTCCTCAAACAGAAATAATCCAATTTTCCACAACCTAACTTACAGACACTTTTCTATAATTTCGTTCTCTCTCCCACATCATCATTCTTACAAATTAAATGTATATTCCTAATCATAAATTCAAACAGAATCACATAAGACCAATAATTCTCTAAATAGAAATAAATAAATATTTGTGCAAGACTGTAACACTTTCCATTAATTAGAACTCAAATGAACACTTTTATTATTCATTTCTCCATATTCTCTCATATAAAAGTTCATATACACTAAGTATAAGGCTCAAACCTAGAAAGTTCTTTATATTGAAAATATAATATATCATGCTCCATTAAAAATGTTTTAATTTTTTTTCATATTTCATTATTTTCCATATTTAAATTTTAAATAAGTGGGGGAATCTTAGAAATTATTATTATAATTTAATATTTAAATATATTTATATTTGTTTAGTTTTTATTAATCAACTTTATCCCCTTTTACATGTGTACATCCGTTAATTGACCAAGTCCTATTTTTTTATTTATTTTTTATTTTTTGTTAATTTCTTTTTAACGGTTTAATAATAAAATCTTGAATTTATTTTGACCAAAGGATACGTTGCAACTTTTTGGATAAACTTATTGCATATTGTTATTTGTTGATTTCATATTGCACGTTGCTTTTTTTAGAATAATTTTTTTTGGAACTATGCACATGTTGCTACATCTATATAGGTGTGTGAGTAAAAGAAAAAAGACAACAGTTCACTTATCTCTCTTTTAAAAATTATTTATACTACTAAAATATATTTTTGGAGATATATTTTTTTATTTGAAGACTTAACTATACTCGAACGATTTAACAAATTGATATATCTTAAGAGAAGAGAGTACATTATAAAATTCAAAATTATTAATATAGTGAAAATATTTTTTCTCTAAAGCTAGTACTCTGCAAATTTTACCCCAAATTATTATAATCTTATTATTTGTTATTCTAATTTACTCTTTATACTTAATTACTTATTACTAATTATTCTATTTTAATTTTGAATTATTTATTATATTATTGATATTGACTTTCTTGATAAGTTAAATTATTTATTTAATTATTTTTTTTCAACATATATATATTAAACAAGTTAGAATTTAACGCAAGAACAACGACATGTTTTGGTTCAAATGACTCATCGAAGCAAAAATCAAATATACTCTTACAAACTATTTGCATCATGTCATACAAAAATTTTCACTTTTCACAGTACGAAAATAGAAAAAGAAATATACGTTATTTTTACTTCAACATGTGTTTGGATGAATTTTATCGTTAATACAAACATACCCTCATTATTTTGCCACTAGTTGTATGTTTAATACATGACACAATTAATATATATATATGTATTATTTAAAAAATTTATGTTATGTAATATGGGTTGTTCCGTTCAATCCATTAGTAAGCCCATGGACTCAGTACCTTATAGAATCAATTACCAGTTTAATTCTTCTTTTTTTTTTTCTCTTCTTAAAATGTGGAGTCCAGATGTAGGTCAAAAAATGATAAAGTACATTATTGGGCAACGATGGATACCTTTCCAAGAGATCTTATCATACAAAATGAGAAACCCATAATTATAAGACCCAGACATGTTAAATTTATAAATAATTTTTAATGATTTATCTATTTTTTAAGAAAAAATTATTAAATTATAATATAAGATATTTATTGAATTGAAATTTTAAAATATTATTTTAACATATAAAAATGTCTTGAGAATTTTAAAGATTATATAAAAATATAATGTTATAAAAAAATATATTTAAAAATATTATTTAATTTTTAAAACATATTTTTTATATATAATTTAAAAAGTTATATGATGTATTGATTTGTAATCTCTAACTGTAAAAAGCATGCTTCAAAAAAAAAAACTGTAAAAAGCAAAGTGACAGAGGGCAGATTGGAAAAAGAAAAGAAAAAAATTTAAATAATATTTTTACATTGAATTAAAATATTAATATATGTAACGGTCCACAGAAGAATCAAAAACGTGTTAAATTTAAACATATTGAAAACATGGAATGAAACATTGGATGTTTTAGTTTTCTCCCATTTTCTACAATAAAATAATGCAATGGTGAACGGTGAACGGTGACGGTGCCCACTTTTGTGTTAAGGAATGCTTCTGTTAAGTCATTCTAACGCCGTTATTTGGTACCGCACCGCGTGAAAGGACGACCTTTTTCAGTTTACCAAAGCACTGTTTTTTGCCGCCAAATCACCGTTTCTTGCCGCCAACGTGAATCACGCCAAAATTTCAAACATCAAATCCTTGGATTACTAATATATTGTTAAAAAGGAAAATCATTCAACTATTATAAAACTAGTATTTTATTATAATGCATAGAGAAATTCATTATATATAATTAAAATTTATAATAAATTATATATAAAAATATTTTTTTTAATATATTAATTATATTTAAAATTGGAATATGTATTAAACATAAAATATATTCACAAAGTCATAAGGGTAGCATGGTATTGCTTAATGATAATTATATATTCATTGTATTTTTACATAAAATATTTATTGTTATATACTTGTATAATTATATTTAACTATTTACCTTTTCCATAATATTTTGAATTTGATTCTTTCGTGTACAAAAAAAAGTAAGTTATATTGTCAATGTTGACTTAAATAAGAAAATATGTGGACCCAAACTAGTTTCGTCTTAAAAAAAAAATAAAAAGGTAAATGTTATACATATTTCTCCTCTCCTTTTATATAGATACTCTTCTTCTCTATTTTTTTAATTTATTTCTTTTTATAATGTTTTATTTTCAAAATATATTTTCTTGATTTAATTTCTCTTGTTCTACTCTTTTTCTTTTGTTACTTTATCACTTTCTAATCACTCTTCATATACCTCCATTCTTTTTTAGTTTTATTTCTTGATTTTTTCTCCTAAACAATCAAGACACTCTTTGACCCATCGTTGTTATTTTTTAAACCCTGTTATATTAAGCTCTTAACTTCAACATTTTTTAAAACTTAATTTTTTTTACCTTATCTTAAATATTATATATGTTGAATACACAATTGTGAATTTTTTAACGACAAAATTTTCAAATATATGACCTATTAATTTTAAAATGAATTATTTATTAAAAATAATATGTTATTATTATTATTGTTGTTATTATTATTATGAAATTGTGTTATTTAGTTCTTAAAATATACTTATAAAAAATACTATCCAAAAGATAAATATTTTGGGTTTGTTTGTTTAAATTTATAAAATAAGTGTTTTTAAATAAGTACTTTTAAAAAAAGCAATTCTTTAAAAAGTAAATAGGAGTTTTTTCTTTAAAAACAAACAATAGAAGACTACTTGTTAAAAAAAAAAAGTTTAGACAAACACATAAAAAAAATTCATAAAAAGTGTTTATTTTTATCAAAATGAAGAAATTTTAGAAGAAAAAGCTTTAAACAAATAGACTCTTTTACTTTTTTAGAAAATACTTTCCAAAAGTTTGTTTTTACTCTTCAAAATAGTACTTTTAGAAATTGTTTTTTACTTTTCTAGTTTGGGATGAATGCTTGGAAGTCGTCGCCCCCATCTCCTTCGCCAATGCCATGCCGGCTAACAACGCTTCGTATTCGGCCTGGTTGTTGCTTGCTCGGAATTCAAAGCATAATGATTGTTCCAACAAAATTCCTTCCGGACCTTCCAAGACGATCCCCGCTCCACTTCCTCCAAGATTTGAGACTCCGTCCACTGATTGGATCCACTGTGTCTCTCCGGGATTTCCCTCATCAACAGGTGAGGTCATCTCCATCACAAAATCAGCTAGCGCTTGAGCTTTGATTGCTCCTCTGGGCTCATACTTGATGGCGTACTCTGATAGCTCTACATACCACTTCATCATTCTTCCTGCCAGGTAGGGCTTCTGTAATACTTGCCTAATTGGATGATCAGTTCAAACTACTACCTCATAGCTCTGGAAATAGTGCCTCAACTTCCGCGCAGTAACCAGTATCGCAAGAGCCAATTTCTCAATCTTCTGATACCTCACTTCCGCTCCCTGTAGCACCCGACTCACGAAATACACAAGAACTTGAGAGCCTTCTTGCTCTTGGACTAAAATTGCACTGACAGCTCGGTCAGACGCCGATATGTAAACCAATAAAGGGATATTCGACCATGGTTTCGTCAAGATTGGTGGCGATGCAAGCGACTTCTTTAGCTCCATGAAAGCCTCCTCACACTCGGTCGTCCAGGTAAAACGATCATTCTTCCTTAAGCATTGAAAAAGCGGGAGGGCCTTGTCAGCTGCCTTTGAAAGGAAACGCGACAAAGATGCCATTCGTCCTGCAAGTTGTTACACCTCCTTCACCGTTGCTGGACTCCTCATATTGATGATCGTCGAGCACTTATCGGAGTTTGCTTCAATGCCACGATGAGTTAGCAGGAAACCAAGGAACTTTCCCGCTTGGACCCCAAAAGAACATTTTTCGGGGTTCAACTTGAGCTAATACTTGCCTATGGTCTCAAATAATTCCTGCAGATCATCCAAATGCCGATTCAGACTCATTGATTTCACCACCATGTCATTCACATAAGCTTCCACGTTCCTACCCAGCTGGTTCACCAATACTTTGTCCATCAAACGCTGATACGTTGCGCCTGCGTTCTTCAAGCCAAAGGGCATGACCTTGTAGCAGTAATTGGCTTGATCGGTGATGAATGCAGTTTTGTCCTCGTCTGCCGGGTGCATTCGGATCTGATTGTAACACGAGTACGCATCCATGAAACTTAACAGTTCATACCCCGACGCGCCATCATTAATTTATTGTATTTTTATATTTATTATATATTTATTAATATAGATATAATAAATAATAATAATAAAAAGCATGGCATTCTGGAACAGGCCGTTCTGAATTCAGAACGGCCCGTTCTAAAAGCAGAATGGCCCGTTCTAAAAGCAGAACGGCCCGTTCTAATATCAGAACGGGCCGTTCTGGTTTCAGGTTTTTTCAAGAATTTTGGCGTCCACGTGCGCATCCACGTGGCATCCACGTAGATGCCACGTGGTCAACAATTAACTCTGTCTAAATCATAAGTATATTTTTTGTTTCTGTATTTTTTTAGAAGTAACTTATGAAAAATATTTTGTAGAAGTATACTTTTTTATTTTGAAAATACTTTTCAGAAAAGGGTATTTAAAAAATAAATTAAAAAAATGAGAAAAATTGATAAATGTCAATTTTACTTAACAAATTTAACTCTTGTGATACTTATTTAATTAATTTTAAAAGAAAATATAATCTTAATCCTTAAAATATTGTAAGAATAAAAAATATGTGTATATAGGTTAGTTTGTGAAGTGCGGATAGATTTTGGACTAATGAACTCTTATTTTTCATGTAGATTTGAGTCCCAAGGCTTCCAAAATTTATAAAAATGCTCAACCAATTTGGATGCACTTAGTGGATCACAGACAGAGAGTAAAGGAGTACATCAAAAAAATCCACTCAAGCATTTGGAAAGGGTTGAGCATATTTGGTCCAAAGGAGCAAGAAAACTTTGATCTAGAAAAGACTTAGTGGGACCAAATGTGGCTCAACAGATAGAGTTTTCTTCATCATTAAGAATTCTAAAATTCGCTTAGTCATTTGGAAAAGGCTGAACAAATTTTCCACTTACAAGATATTCTGTTTTATTTTCTTGGACATATAAATGATTATAGAGAGAAAATGAGCATCAAATAGAACAGAGCACTAAAGAAAGAGGAAAGCTTCAAAACCTTCAAAACCACCTGGGGACAAGGATCTTGAGTTCAATATTTCCTTTTTAAGCTTTCATTGTACATGAAGGTTGCTCTCACTACCATGAGTAACTAATCTTCGTCTTTGTTGGGATTGAATGTAATTTATCAAATTCTTATGTAATCATTTTGATTTATATATATGATACTTCATTATTCAGTATTAGTTATTTAATTATGCACTTAATGTTTGAGGTAAATTGATCACTCACCTTTTGATTTGTGATTCAGTTTTTGATTGAAAAACATTTTCTAAATTTAATTTGAATCAAATTATCTAACGATTCTAAAAGTTAAGAATACATTTAGAGTCATTTGTTGAACGAATTCTTAAACTTAATATAAGAACTACAATTTGATAAACTAAGGACTCAATTATTAAATTAAGATCCTTACAATATATTACTCCTACTTTCTATTATTAGTTTACTTACTCATTCAATCTTGAAATGCCAAATAATATGTTATATTCATCCGTAACTTTTTTTTTTTTTTTACAAATTTTAATTAGAATATTATAAATTGTAAAATATCTTTTAAATATCTGCAAATACGACAACTCTTACTTCAAAATAATATCATAACAGACTTGGTATGCTCCAAAAAAAAAAATCCAAAACACAAATATATTATTAATCATTAGAAGTTCATTTAACAAAAATAAAAAATAAAAAGAAAGTGAAAAAATTGCGCCCATATTACTTGGTATCCCCGTTCTGAAATCATGACCCATTTGAATTTTAAAAGTTTAAAATTGTGAAACACAAAAAAAAAAAAATGAACTTAGATTTTGGCCCAAACTGTTTAGAATTATCCAATAGAATCGACGGCTTATTCAATTAGAAGTAGATATGAAATTATAAAAGTCCGTTTAGTTTTAAATGAACTTTCAAGGTCCGAATCTGACCATGATAAACAATTTGAGATTGCCATACTTTGTTCGGAAATTTATAGTTAGCAATTATCAAAAGTAGTATCACGGATCATTTCATGCAAACACTAGAAAATAAATTATTCATCTAGAATCATTCGTAGCTTAATCTTCAAGGAATAATGGTATTAAATTTGTCTCATCTTCAAAGTAGTTGTATATACTCGAACCCAATACATACAATGTTAATTACAGTATTACTTTTTTTTAGTGAAAAATGAATATAAGGGGATTTGAGTGAAAGGGTTCAAATTTAGTTACTATATATACCACCTCCTATCCTTAGTCTAGACTGATTCTAATAATTTTAAATTAACTAAATTACACTTTTCATTTATTTATTTATTATGATTTGTAATTTTAATTTTCTTATTTTAAAATTGATGTATTTAGTTCTCTTATTTTTAAAATTATAAAATTTTAGTTTTATAATTAATATAATATTTATTGATTGTTAAATTTTGATATTATTTAGTAATCTTATGATATTTAGTAACGTGACATATAAAATTAAAATTAAAAATTATATAAAATATCTTTATTTATAAATACTTTTACGAGTAATTAATATTTAT